GGGGGTATGACACGGCGTTACGGAGCGTTACAAGGGGCGGAGGATGTCAATAAACCGGAAAAATTTAGCGTTATGTAATTTAGGGACGGCCCCAAAGCGAGGTTCCTCTCCATGTGAATAAATCTCTGTCTCTACATCCTATGCATGCGGTTGGGACAGTGAGTATTATAAAGGAATTGAGTTTTCAGGGAAATATGTCCGCTATTGGAGACTAGACGTATCCACGGTGCGCCCCTCCACGGCCCCTTGCCCGGTTGCTAGACGTGTAAACACGGACCCCCATTCATGACGCCCGGCCAGCCTTCCCTCCCCCGCGCTTTCTCAATGGATCGGCGCCCCTCCCACCCTCCCACCCTCCGTCAATCCCCGCTTCCGCCTTATTTTTCGGGTTCTTCCCGCTCTTGACGGGCGGGACCGAGACTCCTTTCCTCGACGCAATAGTGCAACTCCCTTCTTGCTCCAGCCGCAGAAAACATGGAAACAGACGAATAACAGGGCTCATCTTAGATCCTATAGTTACTTCCCTCCGTCATCGGAGCGAAAATTTGACTCACCGCGGATCCCTGAGTGTTTCCTCGCCGTCTTTTCAAATGTAAATTTCGGATTCGAGTAAACGCCCGAAATCCTCGCTTGGCTCACATAAAGGCGTAACTACCTTCAAGGATGAGCCCGCAAAATCATTGGGTTACAAGGACGATAGGGCTCATCGCGAGATACAGTTGCGCAGTTATATCAAGAGGGCGACGGAATATGAGAAATATCGTTTGTGTCCACGAAAGTAACGTAGCAGGGTCCTATTTTCAATTGCGCGAGGGCCCTTAACCGAGGATATAAAGAATAATAATATGAGAGTATTTATTTTTTGAGAGGTTAAAACCGTGATCGAATTGCCGTGCTAGGGAGAAACGTTGTATGAACACTTAGACGTTGCCTGATTTTTAATAGAAATAATAGCGGTTTGTTGCACGTATCGTTTTGAGTAGATTGTTGTTGTTTTTGCCATCATTCGTTCGAAATTCAGTCAGAGACTGAAATCTCATTAAAAAGAGGATGAAAGTATAGTGTTGCAGCAAACAGCGTAACTCTCTTGAGAGTAAATTTGTGCTCGGGTAAGCTTTTTCTTCATATGATGAGATTTCAGTTTCAGACTAGATGAGTGCACGACGCACGTGGGTCAAAAAACACCCCTCTGCCTGATTTCTACTCAGAAAACACGAATTTTTTTATTATCTTACTCGGAATTCCATCTGATGTCTCAACATTTTAAGGTGAAATATATTTTTATATGGCTCTTCTCAGAATTAAATATTTTTACAGGAAGAATTGGCAACGTTAGAATTTTTAAACGGCGTTATTCATTAGCATGCTAGCGTAAGTTGCAGCATTGCGTTTCGCATTTCTTGTGATTTCTCAGGAACTACATCCCTGCAATTAGGAACTATGATCGCTGGCCCATTTCAAAAACAACGCACGTGGCTTTAGTTTTCCTTTGCAGATAAGTTATTTTATATATGAGCTAAAAACACTAGTTTCTTATTGTAAAATCCAGTCCAAATATCAAGGAGATGAGCAAAAGGCAACTGGACATAATTTAGCTAAACGAACCTAGGAGTGAATTGAATATTCCAAAACAACCTATCGCTAATTATATTGCTTGACAAATAGGCGTTTTTGTCAAATTCCCTTTGTAGATAGGTTCCTCCTGCTTAATTATACGTCGAATCGAGATTTACAAATCAAACACGATGAGCCATGACGGGCTGGATTATCCGCGGATGAAATCCAAGCTTTG